TGCCATGTTTCTCATTGCCCCGCCCCCAACTCGGAAACTCTGGGCTTAAAGAAAATTTTGAGTTTCCCACTCGTAATAACGACTTTGTGGTGGCGTTCATGTGCGTTCAACTCGTAAATACGATCTATCCGACATGACTTGAACGCACCATATCTTCAGTAGACTGGGCCAGATTTACTAAACAGGGCAAATTAGCGTTAGAGCGCTATTCCATAAAAGTGCCGATGGGAGGGGAAAATTCTGCGAGTGAGGTAATGACAAAGTGCACATTAAAGAACACAAATGCAGCATCTCATTTCCATAATCACCAGCGCAATCTACCAAGAGCAGCGCAAATTCCACCTGCTTTAAGGCATGCATTAAATAATGGCGCAAATACCAGTGAATTGATGACTGCAAATCTTAGTAAATCTCATTGCATGATTCATTTAAATACTATCTTTCCATAAATTTACAGATCGAAAGGGAAACAAATTCATATTCAATAAGGCGAGTCGCAAAAATAACTGTGTCCACGCCTTTTCAGCACTAATTTCCCACTGCGTGTCTTTAGTAAATCCTGGCAGTAATTTTTTAATGCCAAATGAGGGTTTGTGCTGGCGCAAGCTGATAGTAAATCTGGCCCTGGATCTTCAATAAACAATTTGCAATTAGTCCAAAATATAGCGGCTAGAGTTCTTACCAGGCAGGTAGTGCTGTCCCACAATTTCAGCAAACATCCTTGTATTTAGTGCAAAACAGTGAAAGTTACAGAAAAACAGTTAACAGAAGGAAACATCCAAAATAAACTTGTAAATGTCGACTTTCAAAAAAGACTCCAAGAGAACACTTAATAACCAAATTATATGAGTCCATTTAAAGGTGCAATGTGTAATATTTACATCGATCTATTGACAGAAATGCAATATAATATACATAACTATGTTTTCAGAGGTGTATAAAGACCTTACTTAATGAACCGTTATGTTTTTATTACCTTAGATTGAGCAATTTATATCTACATACACCGCGGGTCCCCTTACATGGAAGTCGCCACCATGTTTCTACAGTAGCCCTAAACAGACAAACTGCTCTACAGAGGGCGTTTCGTCACTGTTGTTCTTGCGAATAAAACACTGACACAATGATGAACAAGTACATTAATATTCGCAATAACATCGATTTATTAAATAAGTAAATATAATTCCTTAATTTACCTTTGTAAAGAAATCTCATTGCTCTCTGCTGTCTTTACCGACGACATCTTAGTCCTGTATCTTCTTCTTATGATGTTTAATGGCGGTTGGCAAACCAGCTTTTGGTGCATATTCCGCCACCTACTGGGATGGAGTGTGAGGCGATGATATCAAGGGAAATGCTAATTCCAAAAAAAAAAAAAAAACCTTCTACCTATATTTTACTATATAAATTTGTTCTTTTCAGAAAATTTATAAGAGCTTTATAACCTTTATGAGAACTGTTTAACACATTCTGTAATGTCATAGAATTAATGGGGTGAGCGGGGGACTGAGCCGTTGATTGCAATTCGCAACTTCACCGCTAGATGCCGCTAAAATTTACACACTGCACCTTTAATTCAGAACTACTGTGTACACCACAGTGCACATGACAAATATGTAAAAAAAAAATCAAGTAATAATTAAAAAAACAATTTTAATAATTCACAATGTTTTGTGTTTCACAATGTTTTATGTTTACAGTGCAAAACCAAAAGAAACTACAAGTCAATACGTTTAAACTCAGCTGAAGAATGGTCAACATCATCAGTAAACAGTTCCTCTGTCAGTGATACCCACACTTTGGCGGTCTTGGCCACTTGAGAGCATGTGCGCGCGACAGGAAGTAAGTGCGCAAGACTGTCCCAGGTCTTAAAAACGCCAAAACGCAGTGCCCTTAAAGCACACTAAATCCACACTATCTCAAATACTGCTCCAGAGCACTATTCGAGGTTTAGTGTATCATCATGCATCATGTTCTGGAACTAAATCGTGAGACGTTTTGCCGAGATCTCGGAAAAGTTCACAAACTTTTCCAATGTAAGTTAAATATTAAAATGCAAAGTATTTAATATATATATATATATATATAATTGATTTCCTCTGACCTAATTTACAGGACTTTTATTTTGGCCTGGTGATATGACGTCATAAGACGGCGCCGCGCTCCTGCATCTTTTCTGATTAGTTTGAAGAAAGGTTTGTATTCTTAAGCATTCAAACAGTTTGTTATTGTTTTTTTTTTACAATCGATGTAAAATGAATGGTTAATTGAATGTAACATTGTAATGCTTTCTCTAACATGAGTTAAAGAGTTAAAGCTTTTCGTGAATAAAGTGCAAACATTAGTAACAGAAAAGGTGCATCTCATTTCGCTTTCTATATCGTGAACCAGTTTATTATAAACAAATTCGGTCACTGGCAAGTAGTGATGAGAGAAACGGAGCTTTTCAATACTCCGAATGAATTGAATCAATTGCTTCACAAAATTATTCACTGATGCGAATCTCTCGAATCACCGCACGCTGACGACACCTGCTGCTCAAAATGGTGTAAGTACAATGAATCACAAACTTGTAATGACAACTTTAATAAACATACGGTTTTATTAAGGTGTCATCTATTAAATTTAATCTACAAATCATTAAATACCAAATAGAAATCAGAAATACATATTAAGTGTATAATTTGTGTTCCTTTTGAATTAGTAGTTTTGAGTTGTTGTTTTTTAATGTCTATCAATTTAAGACCACTGATTACTGCTTGACATCCTTGCCAGTGCTGATTACTGAACTAGGCAGCTGATTGAGACGCACCCAGAGATTTAGTTTGGATTCATTTTTCTTTCTGTTAATTATTCTCATCTTAAACATGACAGAATGTCCAAACACAACAGAACAACTCCTGGTGAAGCTCCTCGAGACACACTATTATAAAGATGGCATCTATTAAAGAGGAGAGTGAAGACATGAAGATTAAAGAAACATTCAGAGTGAAACAAGAAGAGACCGAGGAACAAACAGGTTAGTTTTCATTCTCAAAGCTGAAGTGAGTTCACTATTTGACATTGAGTGATTCATCTCTTGTGGGCAGACGTGTTGAGATCACATGACCAGGCAAATACTAATGCTGCTCTTCAAGTGCACCTGAGTAGCTCCTACTTCCAAGTTTGGCATTCATAATTACGAAATGTCACACATTAAATTGACAAAAATAATACAGAAGAAGCCTAAACAAAGCAATTATTTTGTGTAACAATAAACCAATAATAACAATAAATGTTTATATGATAAATGCTGATTTTACAAAACAAAAGATTCCATGTCCATTAGATATAACTCATGGAATATTGTTGAATTCGTGGGAAAATCAGGTGACCGGATTGCAAAGCAGAATACAAAGCTGACATGCTTTAGATTTATGGGCTCAATGTACCTCTCTCATTCGGCATGAATCCAAGTGTTTCCATGGTGTGATGTAACATTTAAATACTAACCTATATTGTTTCTATTGTAAACAAAGATTTGTACTTGTGTCATAATGTTCCCTTAAAACAATTCCATTTTCTTTCAATTCAAGTTTATTTGTATAGCGCTTTTTACAATAAAAATCGTTGCAAAGCAAATTAAGTTTCTACAATATTTAGTGGTAGCTTATCAGTGGTGACTGTCAGTTAATGTACATATGGCAGAAATGTACTCCAGAGTTTTGCGACCTTAGGGAGCGTGATGGATTGTAGCGTGGTAGAAGACTAGTTAGGTACGCAGGAGCTAGCCCATTAAGGGCCTTATAGGCAAGTAATAATATTTTGTAACTGATACGGAACTTAATAGGTAGCCAGTGCAGAGACTGTAAAATTGGGGTAATATGATCATATTTTCTTGACCTGGTAAGGACTCTAGCCGCTGCATTTTGGACTACCTGTAGCTTGTTTATTGAAGATGCAGGACAACCACCTAGCAGTGCATTACAATAGTCCAGTCTAGAGGTCATGAATGCATGAACTAGCTTTTCTGCATCAGAAACAGGTAACATGTTTCGTAACTTTGCAATGTTTCTAAGATGGAAGAATGCTGTTTTTGTAACATGGGAAATATGATTTTCAAAAGACAAGTTGCTATCTAATATAACACCCAGATTTTTGACTGTAGAGGAAGTAACTGTACATCCGTCTAGTTGCAAATTGTAATCCACGAGATTCTGTGTACTGTCTTTTGGTCCAATAAGTAATATCTCTGTCTTATTCGAATTTAATAGGAGAAAATTATTGGTCATCTAATCTTTTTCATTTTTAACACACTCTGTTAGCTTATAATTTAGAAGTTTCATCTGGTCTTGTTGAGATATATAGTTGAGTATCATCTGCATAACAGTGGAAGCTAATCCTGTATTTTCTAATAATATTACCAAGGGGTAACATGTATATTGAAAATAGCAGAGGACCTAGGACAGATCCTTGTGGCACTCCATATTTTACTGGTGATAATTAAGATGACTCCCCATTTAAATAAACAAAGTGGTAGCGATCGGACAGGTAGGATCTAAACCATCTTAAAGCCTGCCCTTGAATACCTGTATAGTTTTGTAATCGATCTATGAGTATGTCATGATCTATGGTGTTGAATGCAGCACTAAGCACTAAAACAGCATTCGCATACAAATTATACAAATGCTATTCTACCATGGTACTCAACTAGAGGTGGTTGTCACGTTGACTGGCACAGCTCTACTAGGCTACATTATTTAAAAAAAAAATATATATATATATATAAATATATATATATATATATCATAGCTATGTTGACTGTCCATCATGGACTTGTGTGACTTTGCCACTTCCTATTTATTTATTTTTATATTTTTTTCCTTTTTTTTCTGTGACCGACTAATTAAAATTTGGTGGACTGAGCCAATTCTTGTTGACTAATATTTAGTTGAATGTGCACCGGTATGATCACGCGTGCCAAAGGCTTAACATGATAATGGTAGAATTAACCTTTAGCACATCAAATAAAATAGTTTGTTGATGCTAAGCTGTACTAAATACAACTGTACAAGAGAACTGGGCCCCCGACTGAGCCTGGTTTCTCCCAAGGTTTTTTCTCCATTCTGTCACCGATGGAGTTTTGGATCCTTGCCGCTGTCGCCTCTGGTTTGCTTAGTTGGGGACACTCAATTTCTAGCGATATCATCGACTTGATTGCACAGATACTATTTAAACTGAACTGAGCTGGATGATGAAATCCCTGAATTCAACGATGAACTGCCTTTAACTGAAAAATGAGTGTTTATTACTATTGTCCTTTTGCATTATCGACACACTATTTTCCTAATTAATGCTGTACAGTTGCTTTGACACAATCTGTATTGTTAAAAGCGCTATATAAATAAAGGTGACTTGACTTGACTAAATTGTATAGCATTTTCACAATACTCATTGTACCAGAGCAGCTTTACAGGAAGTTACATCATAACAAAGTCATACAATGTCTTTGAAGTTTTTTGAAAAACATTTCTGAAGGTTATGCTGCAATACATTTGTCCATCTTCTAAATTAAGTGTCTTTTAATTAGAATTTCACAAATGCTGTTGTCAGTAATAATTTATTCTCTGTGCAGTACATAAATTGAGATCTATCCACTTATGTTTAGAGATTTTTGGTCCAATAGTTAATACTTCTGTTTGGCAGAACTTAGAAGAAAGTTACTATCCATACCATAGTTTTGTTATGACATATTTCAATAACACACAAAAAAAAGGTTCAGCATTTTGTCCAAGCAATAATAAAAGAACACCTTTTCATTTATAATTTACCTTAAATCTCATTTTGTAAAAAAAAAAAAAAAATCATGAGAAAATCGTATTGTCAAATCAGTATTGTGAATCGTATCGCAACGCGAGTTGAGTGAATTGTTACATCCCTACTAAAAACCTTCAAAAATATTGAGAAGAGATTCTGAGAAGTTTTCTTTTAGTAGCTAAGTGCATATAGGATCTATGGCTGCGTTTACACTGCAAGTCTTAATGCACAGATCCGATCTTTTGACCATATCCGATTTTTTGGCAATGTCCAGATATCAGATGTGTATCCGATTAAAATCCACATTTGGAAGTGGCTCAGATCGGATGCAAAAAAATCGGATCTCATGTGGGTTTTTGTGTTTACACGTGTGCAACAAATTCCGATCTGTGTCAGATGTGAGCGAAAGATCGGATTTTTTGTGCCAGTGTAAACGCAGCCTAAGTGTTGGCTTTGGTGCCTTGTTTTTTTTTACTTTAATGTCTTTTTTTTCTGCTTTAGATCTGATGGCACTGAAAGAGGAGAGTCTGAAAGAAGAACTGAATGAAATGGAAGAGAAAAGTCAGGATGTGAAACGTCATGATTTCAAGAGAGGAGAAAAATCCTTAAAGACTGAAAAGACTTCCTCACAAAAAAGTGGTCAGAGGACTGACTCTAACAGTTTCACCTGCTGTCAGTGTGGTAAGAATTTCACTTGTAAGCAAAACCTTGAAGTCCACATGAGAGTTCACACTGGAGAGAAGCCTTTCAGCTGCCAACAGTGTGGAAAGAGTTTCAATCAAAAGCAAATCCTTAAAGTCCACATGAGAGTTCACACTGGAGAGAAGCCTTACACCTGCAAACTGTGTGGACAAAGTTTTAAACTTAAGGGAAACCTTAATGCCCACGTGAGAATTCACACTGGAGAGAAACCGTACACCTGCAAACTGTGTGGGAAGAGCTTCTCACGAAAAGAAAGTCTTAAGACTCACTTGAACATTCACACAGGAGAGAAGCCTTGCATATGTGGTCAGTGTGGAAAGAGATTCAAATGTAAAGAAACCCTTAATCACCACATGAGGATTCACTCAAAAGAGGACTGTTTTATATGTCATCAGTGTGGAAAGAGTTTCCTGCATAAAAGAAGCCTCAACGCTCACATTAGACTTCATACTGGAGAGAAGCCTTTCATCTGCCCTCAGTGTGGAAAAAGCTTCTCACAGAAAGGAAACCTTCAGACTCACATAACTATTCACACTGGAGAGAAACCATTTAAGTGTCTTCAGTGCGATAATAGTTTCACATATAATAGAGACCTGAAACATCATTTGCAAACTCATTCTGTAAAGAAATTGTGATTGTCCACCTTTATGACCACTTATTGTATTTGCAATCTTCACCTCTTTATACTTTACCTTGAGCCTTTTTATTTTCCTTTAATGGCTGCAATATAACAAAGAGTGAAAAATTTAAGGGGGTCTGAATACTTTCCGTACCCACTGTATGAACTCCGGTTTTCACACTTGTCAATCTCCTTTGCTATAGTTTCAAATATTGAGCAGTTGAGAAACCCTCTAATTTTGATAGTATAGAGGCATTGCTCCATTACATATATTGTTAATCAGAATCAAATTATTGGTGAAATTGCTGTGAAATGCCACAATGTAAAAGAAAGATTATAAAGGACACAAATTGTACATAAATAATAAACACTGCTCTGCATTATTTGATTCATGAGACAATTAACAGGCAAACGTGTTGCTACTGCTGGAGCTCATGTGATGACATCTGATACACGTATCAATGCAACTGATGAACAAATGCGTGCAAAAATACAAAATGATGTTTTATTAACAAGGTTCGGGAGGAGGAGCTCAGGCTGGCCCAGGTGGAGCTCGTCAGCTAATCACCTTAACAAGCACAACATGTGTATATATATATATATATACAGCCAACTTACCTCAGTTCCACAAAAGTGTTCCAGCATTCGGTTTTGCTCCTTTAGCCATCATATCACAGACTCAACTTTTTCCGTACTACGACGAGACCTGTACTGGCTGCGGGCTCCAGGATCACTCCTTCTCCACCAGATACCGCTGCCAAACTCCAGGCTTCATTGCGGCTGCCACTCTGCTCGACCAGCCACACGCTTTCCACAACGCCGAGGCTTAACCTCGCCTCCACCGGCGAGACTTCCAACTTCCCCAACATCCTCGTATCATTCGGCCATGCCAATATATCCTCAGATCGGAAAGTGGATAGTATTTAAGACTGAAGCAAACGCTGATTTATTTCCAACTAACCATTCTCACGGAGGATAAACAAAGCTGATCTGTACGGTCTATTCTTCACCCTGCAAATTAGCCAAGGCGGCCAATAGATCGAGCAAAGCCTCGAACTCGCCCACTCGACACTATCATTGTCCCGCACAAGACCCGGCTCTCCTCGAGCTTTGGGTCGCAGCGGCAGGCCTTAAACGAGCCTGGGCCCCAGTTCGAACCTGAGCAAAACCTCATTCGCTCCCCGCTTCGGCTCAACTTTTCACCGCGGCTCTTCCGGCCGCAGCACCACGTGTAGCCGGGCCTCCAGCTTACGTAGCAGTCGCTAGCGCGAGGCTGCCTCCGCTAGCGCCACAGGCCGTGTTGCAATTAAATTTTTAGGTAAAGTCACTAAAGGTAGGTCGTTTGTTGTTAAAAGTTGTTAAACGACGTGATGACATTATGGATGTTGATGTCATTTTTGTAACCATGACGCAAAACTGCTAGAACACACAATGAAATTACTCAAATTTTCTGTATTAATTTTCACTACCATTTTACCTGTATTTTAAATTACACATTTTACTCGGATAGACAGATAAGATGAAAAAGATTTGATTTTCGTGAAAATAAGTAAAAGTGTACAATTATAGGTGCAAACTAACAACTAAGGTGTATCATAAAGAAACTATTATTATTATTATTATTATTATTGAACAAGTACAACTAGCAACCTAATTCGCATGCGTTGTGCATACTGCTAGGCACCTCTCTCCAAGTCTCTACCAGCTGATGTGCTGCTTGGCTGGCTAGCTGTTTCAATACTTACTACTTATTGCGTGGTTAAGAGGATGTCTTTTTGTCATTTTCTTATGTTGTCAAAGTCGTCATATTTCTCCTGCTACTTCTAACCTCTCTTCCTTTTCAGTGGTCTCCAGCTCCCATAGCACACACTAGCGTGAGGCTGCCTCTGCAAGCTGTGCAGGCTGCACAGGCTCTCCAGCATTTTCCCCTGAATATCACAAGCCCCCGTGGCCTACAGCTACAGCAGCTGAAACAAGCGCAAAGCTGCTTACGCTTGCAACACATGCCCTCACATCTCAGTCTTTTCCTCCTGTTACTTCTAATCCTTTTCCTTTTCAGTGGCCTCCAGCTCCCATAGCAGACGCTAACCCAGAAGCCGATTTAAACGTCAGGCTGCCTCTGCTGACAATTGCAGCCCATGCACCTCTTCCTCATAGCTTCCTACTTCATTAAAAATTACGTTGTCTTCCAGATCAAGTTCCGGCTCCCCTCGAGCTTCAAGAGGCAGCAGGCCGTCAGCAAGCCTGGGCTGCGCCCCAGACTTGGCTGCTCCTCACACTGCATTGCCTCGCTGCAGACGTCCAAGCAGGGCAGCATCAGCCAGCAACGCAAGCTTACTGGCCTCCTCCCTCATTTCCTTCTACCTCTTCCTACGTGCTACCCTAAGCACCAGAGGCTAATCCGTTGATGAGGCTGCCTCCGCAAAAGGTTACGGCCCCTCCTTATCTTCCTCCTTACCCTTCTCTCCAATCTAAACCTCAGTACACTTCATTCACAGCAGTCCCACTACCTACCCCACCGAATGCTGCAGCTCAGGAGCCACCCCCTGTGCCTAACACCATCAAGTCTCAGATTCTCGCAGAAATTCAGAGCGCTGGCTCCGGAGGCGAACCCATCGCCAACCCCAGTACCTCACTATTCGCAACTCGT